CCAATAGAAATTCTTACTTTAATTCATCATGTCACGGAAAGAGTGGCTCATTCTATTAAGTTCAACCCTTGTTAGTATACAAGTGTACTTTTAATTAGTTAATTTTATTCTAAGTTTTACTTGCATCTCTTAAATTTCAAATAAGTTTTTTAACTTTTAAATTTTATCTTCATTTCTTAATTTAGTTTGGCTTATAGCAAGATATTGTCATCCTAAGAAAGTCTAGCCTCTACTGATTCATAGTTATTAATACACATGGTTGTAAAGTGAATTTGTATTATAAATTCATAAAAGTTTATACATGTCAATAAATAATTCATAAAATGTATTCAAATGTAACTTAAATCACGGTAATTCAGTATTATTTTTATTTTTGAAAATAAGAATAATGTTAACACATGGAAAAGGTATAGTTACATTCCATGCAACGTTACATTATTTCTCAAGTTCGAGATGATTTTTTGTTCATGTAACGAAAAGTTGATTCAGGCGAGCTGGGGACCCCAACCTGTAGTGCCTGTAGTGCCTCCTGTCCAAGGATAAAGTTTTAACTAATTTAATTACAGTAATTATTAAGAAGAAATTAATTCAGTCGTGTTGCAAAAAAAAGAAGAAGAAGAAATAGTCCAACGTAATCCAACAAGTTTAACGTGGACATCACAATCGCAAATTAATTCATAATTACAAGACGACACATGGTCGGCCACGTAATTCAAACTCTAATCAAGGAGAATACGAAACGCACATGGGCAAAGCAACTTTACGTCACCGCTTTCTTTTTTGACCAAGATAGGCCACACAAAAAAAAAAAAGGCAACTTTACGTCACCTCTATCGTTTTTGACCAAGACACGTCACCTTATTTTATTTTTTTTTTCGTGAATATTTCACTGCAGCCCCTTAACTAAATTTATTAATTGTCAACATCCAAAATTCTGAAACATCAGTTCATCTCTGTGGGTTTCACTTAAATTAAATTAAAATTAAGTTTTTGAAAAAAATATACAAATAATCTCAATCTCTTCCTCTCCTAGAGTTAAAAATATGGGTCGAATTATATAGGTTGGCCCAAATAACCTATCTTAAAAGTCCGGTCGAAAAAAAAATTGACTTAAATAAAAATAAGTTTTTTTTGGCTCAAACCATATAACACGTAAACCATATGGATTAATCTTGATAGGTTAGGATTGACTCGTTTAATTCATATTACTGTTAAAAAATTAAAAAAAGAGAGAAAAGGAAAAAATTTTGTGAATATAAATCATATCAGGCATGATTTACTTAGCTATATCAATTTATATATTTTGTACAAACATTATAAAATAATATTTTGGTATATTTAGAATGAATCATGAAAAGATATCAAATTGAAACTTATTATTTATATGTATTTTTTTTAAAAAATCACGTAAAAAATAAATTTAAAAAAATTAAAAAAAATGAGTTGGCGGGTTGGCTCATTTAGCCGGCTAACCCTCAAGGGTTGGATCGGATTGAAATTGTTTCAACTCATATAAAAACGGGTTGAACTCAATCCAACCCATATGGGTTGAATTGGCCCATATTCTCACCTCTTCCCTCCGTTTAAAAATATAAGACATTTTTTGAGGAGTTAGATGTTCAAAAATATAAAATATTTTTAGTCTTTCGAGGTATAATCATTATCTTTTTTTCAAAAGTGCCCCCATTGATGAATGACTTTATATTTATTGTAGGATATTTAATAGGAGTAAATATAAAAAAATAGAGTTAGTTTGAAAGTAAGTAACTACTTTATTGGAGGGTGAGATTCGATTAAAAATACCTTACAATTTTAAACGGAGGGAGTATGTTATTTGTTTATTTTTTATATAATACTTATTTATTTTTCTTACATAAGTTATTCATTCATTTAACTTCATTTTTTAATATTCATAATCGTATTACACTATTAATAAGAGCTACAAATTTTCCTTACATTAATTGTTTACTTTTCTTATGCAAGTTCATGTGCCTAACTTCATTTATTTATATTTATAATGTTATATTATTAATGAAAGTTGCAAATTTTTCCTTAGTTATATATTTTTTTTAACACAAGTTGTTCATTTACCTTATTTTAGTTGTTTATAATTATGGTAGTATGCTGTTAACAAGAGTAATAAATATTCTCTACATTAGTTGTTATTTCTTACATATCAATTGTTCATTTTTTCTATGCCAATTATTTTTATGCAAGGGGTTGGGGTTATGTGTTATTTTCCTTAAAAATTTAAAAGAAAATTTTAAATTTTTATACCTTACGCACATTTTGTTATAAATCTCTATATTTTTTTTAATATTTTAAGTTCTTAAATGAATAAAGTGTAAATACCTTAAAAGGACATAAAACATTTAAAAATATAAGTATTGGAACCTAAAATATCAATCAAATCAATATGTATATATAAAGATTTATAACAATATGTGAGGGAAATGTATAAATTTAAAGTTATGTTTTTTTAAAAATTTAATTTTGATTTAGCTCAAATGGGACCATAAGATTGAATTGATGTTTCGAACATTGCAATTTTTCCTTTTTCCACCTCCCTGTCTTTCTCTTTTTTTTTTAGTCATTTGATAAAGAAGCTAAAGAACAACACGTCTTTCTTTCGTTTTTAGTTTTGATCATTTGATGAAGAAGCTAAAGGACAAAACGTCATACAAGAGAGGCAATAGCGACAGAGATGCCAATATTTAATACCTGATCACTTTTAATAAAAAGATAGAAATACTATTGTATGAAAAAAAAAATAAAAATACTCCCTTTATCCCTAAACATAAAGCATTTTTAATCATATTCACATGTCAATAAAAATTTATTATTTAATTAAAATCACATTAATTAGTTTAATTTTTAATTTTATTTCTAATAATATCAATTAATATTATGATAGTGATGAGTAAAGCACACAATTAATATACCTTTTTTTTTTTAAAATAAGGGCAAAATTATATAATTATTGTAAAATATCATGATATCCTTTATATTTAGATATAATAAATTTCTAAAACACACTACGTACAGGGACGGAGACTCGGACAGAGGGAATAACATTAAACTCACTAGATATATCAAAATCAGACATCAGGAGTTTCGTGTGAACAGCAGGAAGATGGTCCCAAATCTTAAAGTTGACGTTCATTTCATGAGTTTAATAAGCTTACTAGTTTTGCTTTTGGGGGTGGGGGAAGCTGTCCTGTTAACACGCTACCTTCTTCTTCTTGTTTGTTTTTTTTTTTTTAATGTATCAGAGAACACATGCTACCTTCTTTGAAAATATGATTGTCAACGACAAGAACAAGAGGGTTTAAAAAAATTTATTGGCCAGGTGAATAAAAGCTGTTAGCTGGTCAAAAAAAAAAAAAGGAATAAAAGCTGTTAGCAGCCTAGTGGCCTGGCCCGGTGGAATCCAGCCCAAAAAGAGGTTGGGCTGGAATGGGCCAGATTAGACAATGTATTTTGTTCTGTAATCATCTTTGATATCTTCACTTCAATCGAATTAGAATCGTGATTCTTAAAGAAGACTAGGAAAAACTATATACAAGTGCATTCTCCAATAAGTGATAAGAGACGATAAATAATCTTAAACTAATAATGAACGTAAATGAAGAATTCAATATCCTGTGTCGATATGATAAAGTAAAAACGTACAGACGCCAAAAGCTAGTAACAAATAACAAAGAAACAAACAGTGCTCGTGAGACAGAGCCCAAAAAATGGATTCATATACCGATGAGAGCCAACAAGTGGAACAAGTTCATAAGGAACTATAAAAGATGCCCAAGAGCTGGGTGGTGGCATGAACTTCGGTTCTAAAACATTGAGCTTATGGACCTGATTATACTTTAAAGGTGTGGCATATCAAAGGTAAGAAGAAAGCACCGCTAAGAAACAGTCATTATTGACTGTTATTATCTTAGAATTTTCCAACCTATAACTCAACATGCCAAAATTGAAATACAGTTGTGTGTTTGTGTGTGTGTGTGTAGAGTAAGGAGCACTATGTCTTATCAAGGATTAAATATGGTGCAGCTTTGTGATTCTAATGGAGGAAAATTAGACTCATTTAAGGAAGGTTTCAAAATCTGGCCAAAATTATATAGGCAGGTAGGTGGGAAGAAACCTGTCATTCTGTCAATCTCCTAGAACATATTCCAGAAAAAGCAAGGCAAGATATGGAAATTATTGAAGTCGGTATTCCATGTTAGTTCTTAAACTCTCAATTCATTTTGTTGGATTTGGATGCTTTTCCCAACATTCAAACATCACTTTCACATGAAATCCCTGAGTTGGATTCGTCTATTAAAAAGTAGGGAATGGGTTTTAGCAAAGATATCTGGGATTTTATTAAAGGAGATATAAATTCTTAATGAAAGGAAAAAGGCATCTAAATTCAGCGCGCGACTCATGGAAACTTTTATGTTTTCCATTTTTCTTGCAGAGGCGAAGTTTCAGGCTTTGTTTATAGGGAGGAATAAAACCTATAAGATTATATCTAAAGACCAGGTACATGAAATATAGTTGCAGCAGATTAAACAAAGGTTCGAATATAAAATTAATTGACCAAATAGACTGGTCTTGAAAGACATGGGAGTAAATACTTTACAAGAGCTTCGGCCATGTTTAGTTTTTATATAGATTATACACCAAACTGGAAAATTGATAAAGCCATATCCTAATAAGATTTGAGAAATTACAAGTTTTGTTCTTAAATTTAATCAACCACTTTTCATCAAATCATCAGTTTCTTGTCAAGTTGCAATCACTTACATGATAATGCATATTTTGTTCTTATAGTGAAGGATCTTATCTCCATAAGACTCAACATAAACTATATGTTATGAAAGGTATAGTTTTTTTTTTTTTTTTTTGCCAGTTATGGAAGGTATAGTTAAAGCAGTACAATTATAAAGAAGTTAAGAAATATAAATCCAATCATAGGATTTCATATTGAGATCAAACTCTAATAATAAAATTTACAAATCAATAGAAAGTAATGTCAGGACAATATATAAAAATTATACTTATATCTGTGAGATCCGACAACAATGAACTTTACAATTATGAATTTAGATATTACAAACAAATCTCGACAAAGAAAATGATATTAAATCAAGACATAGAGCACAGCATATCACGATTGAGTATTGTCAATTCAACATAAACCAGAAGGAAGGTTTCGCAAAATTCTGCCATATAACAAGATACAAGTCAACTTGTGAAGGTTAAAAAGTCTACAATTTGATTTCTAGGTTTTGCTATTTGGCTAGCCTCATTGCTATCTGACGTATGTAAGCAGATATATGAAGAAGGAAAATAGAGTATGCTCAGCTTACCTGATGATCTGAGTAGAGGCACTTAATCTTTGACATGATATAATGTGGATTATTTCAGTGAATTTCCTGAGCTTTGCAAAAAATTCAAAGAGAAAAACATAAGAAAAAGATACTACCAATATGAAAATGTCTAACTCTTTATATAATAGCAAGTAGATACATAATTTATTGCTTTAGCTTCCACGAATCTACCTTTTAGATAAAGCTAGTATTTGAGTGACAATACAAGGTAGTTCATGTTTTAACTGTTTGGTGAAATCTACATTTTGAACCAAGACAAGATTTGCAAAAGCACGTGAACACAGTATGAATCCTCTGCTGTGTTGTCCAAGCACATGGACACTAGTTTGGATCGTCTCCTATAATAGGAGAGGATCTGAATGCACATGCGCACATACAATACCAACTTTTGTGTACACATCATTAGACGCTTTGAGTAATGAAAATAACCTTTGATAATGTCTCGATGTAGTATCATAGGTACAAGATTTTGATGTGAATGAACTTGTAAGAGATCTTAATAGAGGACAAGACTTATAATCTTAAGTTCTTTAAGTTTTCAGCTATCAAGTTCTCTAACATAAACATAATACTTGGATAGTTTTTACATCTCAATTTTCCACTATTTGCTCCTTCTAAATAGTTCTGAATTGACATAATTTTATTAAAGAACTTCATAGCAGACATCTAAGGATTGTACCTTAGATTCTTCTATCAATAAAACCAATCATGGACCTTTACTTAACAACATAAATTTCTGAAATTGAAATAGTCTTTTACAGGCTTTCCTTTTCTCTGGAAGTAGCAATAATATTGATATATCTAAGAATGGGCAGAATAGCACCCTAGGAAGATTGAGATGCAGTAGAATTGGAATTTCCTAAGGTTATTACAAGTATCAAAATAAAAGCGCACCTCAAATCAAGAGAAGTGATTGTTGGAAGCATTTGAGCGTCGAGCCATATTGATAATCATACTGTTGCTCTTTATAATTTTCAATACACAACATCTCGCAATAAAGGAGTAATCTTCATTACCCAATGTGAAGAACCCACAGCCCGCATGAATGATTGAACAGAATGAAATGTATCGTTATCCAATCAGCTAAGATGTATTTGCTTAAAGCAAGTTACTCTTTCATGTCTCCGATGTCTCAAGGAATAAGAGGCTATAAGCTTGTTTTTGCAAAGAGCAATGATCTAGCATCCTCTTTCCTTTATTCTTTTCATGTTATCTGTTCCGTCCAACTTCTCTAGACCTCTTTAATTTGCATTCTGGAATACAACTAAAAAAGATCCCAGAATCCAACTTCCATCACTCGCTATAAAGAAAGTGTCCAATTAAAATAGTTCCTTTGTCATTCTGAAATGATTGGAGTCATACTGATTAGCTGATATTCCTCTAGCTTGTTTGATTCCTTCACAAGAACACTAATTACACAATGGCAAGGAAGAAGTGAAATCCACTTCTTACTTTCTATGCCCTTTAATGCACTGGTGCAGATCTGCATGTAGAGAAAAGGACTACTGATCTCATATCTGATCACTGTTACCAGTAATCTCCACAAGAACAAGTTCCCTCACTGAAGTGGTGAAAGCGGTGAGAATCCCTTAAGATAATCAGTCTTCCAACAATCTTGGATATGTATTTCATGGCAGTATGACAGTCTTCACAAACACGCAAGTTTTTCATGACACGTATTGGTCTGCCAGCCGGTACAGTCAAAATTCCAAATGCTACAGCTAATTTCTCACTGTGATACTTAAGCAAATGTTCCTTTTCTTCCTCTTCCACATCATGCAGAACCAATTTTGTTCTACTAACATACCCCTCACGCTTCATTTTTTGATCTAACTCTTCTAAGAAGGCATAGATTCTATTTTTTTCTGGGTGGAAACAATCCCCAACTGAGAATGTATGAATTTTGTTTTGTACCTCAACCCAACTATAACCCGGTACTTTCTTCACACCAATATCCCTCATTTTCAGTCTCATCTTACCAACATCAACCCATCTACCTGAAGCTGCATACAAATTTGAAAGGAGGACATACATTCCTGTGTTGTGAGGCTCCATCTTGAAAACCATCTCGGCAGCTTTTTCACCCAGTTCAGTATTGCCATAAATCCTACTTGCACCGAGTAGAGCTCCCCATGAAGCAGCATCAGGCTCAAAAGGCATGTTTTTCATCAAATTCTCTGCTTCTTCAAGGCGGCCCGCTCTACCAAGAAGATCAATCATGCAAGTATAATGTTTTGAATTAGCTGCTATACCATAATCCCTTTCCATCGAATGAAAATATTCCATTCCCCTGTCTATCAAGCCAGAATGGCTACAGGCAGATAGAACACCAACCTGAAAGAAAAAGAACGATGCTATCAGATTATTTTATTAAAAAAAGAAAGAAAAGAAAAAGAATAAGATTCCCATAACTCATGTGATGACATAAAGTAAATTCCTTCTTCCTAATTCATTTTAATGTATTCCATCTAGAGAAAAATACTATATAGGTGTGTGTATAATTTACTATAATTGGATAGCACTGAATACTACAACTTTAGTAAACAGGTGAATAATTGAGTCAGCATTGGTTGGATTTTGTGTTTTGCCAACACGAAATGATAGTTGCAATATTTGATCACAAGACAGAGGAAACACATTAGCAAGAGCAACCATTAGCTCAGTTACCTCCATGGAAAGAAAACTCTGTAACAGATAACTCATAAAAACAATATAATAAGGAAAACATAGTATAAACAAATCTTTAGGGGTGCATATTTTTCCCACACAAGCAATAGAGGATAAGAAATGCTCCCATAAAGGAACAAATATTAATAGGGAGTCAAAGTGGGCTCAAGAATACAACTGGTCTACATTTGGGCTTCAGTATATGTACAGAGTGTCTAACTGAATTTGCCTAAGTTTGCTTGAAGTTAAAGACAAGAGAAATGAATGGTTAGAGAGAAGAGAGAGGTTTGGAAGGAGGATGAGAGAAAGATATATAAGTATAGAGATCAACAAATTTAAAAGTGCGGGCACACAGACACATGAACAGCACCAAGTTCATATTAAAAAGTAGTTATATATATATATATATATATGGAGTCTTAACTTGTAAGAGCCACTAAAGTAACTCTCCTATTAATTCCCCAAATCACCTTAACCAATCCAATATTATCCTTAACACCATGTTAAGCAATGGTGTCCATTCCCTAATTACACAAAGTAAGCAAATTAATAACAGAAATAAGATTTCCAGAATGCGATTAATACAATAGCATGAAAAGGCAAGCTCTATTCTCTTTATGAAGATGATGTTCATAATAGGGCAGAGGATTCATGCGCTCCCTTCCTAGCAAATACACTATCATAGCATCCCACACATTTTTGTTGGAGATTGCTTGACCATGTAATAAAAAAATTTAGTCATAAACTACATATACAAAAAAATCAATAATATAAGTAAAAACATAATGAAAATATCACACACTTCCAGCTGGGCAAGGGAGTAATTCATGCTAAAGATGAGCTTTGAATAATTTTTAGATGCATATAACATGTATAATAAATATAGATACCAATCATACCATAGTAATGTCATCGGGTTTAATGCCCGATGTCTTCAGTAACTCAAATATCATTAAGGCCTGTTTGCCAAACCCATGTCTAGCATAACCTGCTAACATTGTGTTCCAGGAAACAATATCTTTATCTTCTATTCCTGTAAATACATCATAAGCTTCTTCTATGCTGCCACATTTGCAATACATTCCAAGAAGTGCATTCCCCACAAAGCACCCTGTCTCAAATCCTGCCTTCACCGTCTGCCCATGAACTTGCTTCCCTAACTCCAAAGCAGAAAGATCAGCACAAGTGCTCAAAGCACAACTAAAGGTTGCCCTATTTATTGTTTCCCCATCTCGTTTCATCTCTAAAAACAAGTACAAAACATCTTCATGGTGACCTGTTTGAGCATAACCAGCTATAATAGCAGCCCATGACACACAATCACGTTGTGGCATCCTCTCAAACAAATTCCTCGCTTGAGCAATGTCACCATTCTGAGCATATCCAGTGATCATGGTATTCCATGAACTTATATTCCGACAAGGCATTGCCTCAAATAATTCCCTGGCCACGTCGATTTTCTTGCCTTGCACATAACCTGCAATCATTGCATTGTATGAAATCTCATTTTTTTGGGGCATTTCATCAAAAGTTCTTCTCGCTTCATCCAGCATCCCATTCTGCACATATCCAGAAACCATTGCTGTCCATGTGAACACATCCCGTATTGGAGACTCCTCAAATAGCCTCTTCGCTTCTGACAAATCTCCATGTTGAGCATAACCTGTAATCATGGTGTTCCAGGAAACTTCATCTCTAACAGGCATTTGGTCAAAGAGCTGCCTAGCATCACGTAACATCTTCGTCTTTACAAACCCACCCATCAGACAATTCCAAGAAATTAAATCCCAGTCTGATTTTGACTTAAACAACTGGCAAGCATCGTGAAGTCTTCCATTGTGAACATACGCTGCCAGCAACCCATTCCACGAGATTGAATTCTTATCAGGCATCCTATCAAAAATATTCCTTGCCTCATCAACGTATCCATTCTGGGCATACCCAGACAACATAGCATTCCATGAAACAACGTCCTTTTCAGGCATCAAGTCAAATAACTCGCGGGCGTAACCAAGTCTCCGATTCCTAACATAGCCGGTGAGCATTACATTCCACGAAAATAGGTCCCTTTCAGGCATTATCTCAAACAGTTCCCTTGCATGATTAAATTTTCCATTTCTTAAGTACCCAGATATCATAGCATTGTATGAGACAGAACTTCGACGAGGCATGGTGGTGAAGACTTGAAGAGCGGCTTGGCAGTGGCCATTGCGCATGTGAGAAGAAATGGTCTTGTTCCATTCAAAAATGTCAGGGTCCTTAACAGTAGAGGAATGTTTCGATGTATGAGAGTTTGAGGGGGATTTTTTCTTCAAATGAGAAGGGTTTGGATTTCTATGTCTCGCTGGTTGACTCTTGCTGTAGAGAGAGCGGACATGTAATTGTCTCAAACCATAGGTCTCGCGCAATCGCATTGCTGTTAACTTCGGACTGTTTTGTTTGGTTCATACAACCTACTAGTGGTACTGGAACCTCTTCGACCCGTCCATCCACTTCACGAGCTACCTGGACTCACTCAGTCTCGAAATTTCATCAAAGCGCCGAAGATCTCATGGGCCCGTCTGGGACGCATCATTGATGGCAAAGGACTGACATTGGATTACTACCTTTGACATGTTTGATACGAATTACGAACCATTTACAAATATTTAGGATTGCTCTCAATGGCCAATGCCAATGATTTAAAACCGGATCTGGTTCGGTCGGGCTGTTGATAAAAGTCAGCTCAGTTTAGATTAAAAAACTGCTTTAATAATTGAGCTAAATTAAACCAAAATTGAGTCATTATTGAATTAAAAATCAGAGTTGAACCAAAAACCTAAGCGATTTTCAAAAAAATATACGGTTTTAAACATAATATTACAAAAAGGTTAAAAATAAAAAATTAAAAAAAAACTTTACTTTTGAACAATTCATATGTACTCCCTCCATTTTAAACTATAAAATACTTTTAGACAAAATCTCACATACTAATAAATCTCATTAAATACACTTAACAATTTTATCTTTTCGAAATAAAAATATAAACTTTAAAAAATATCTATCATTTAATATATTAAAGAGAGAAGGGACAAAAATTATTATAGAAAGAGAAAAGATAAATTTAGAATTAGTACATTTAATGAAATATTAATGTAGTCAAAATGTTTTATATTTTAGGATGGAGAAACTCCTTTAAAATGTCATATAATTAGGGACGAAGGGAGTATAAAATATGATTTTAGACCTTTTTTTTCTAAAGATATTAATAATTATATATGTAAATACAGATCATTTTGAGTTTATTTATATCTAATTTAAGTAAAATTCACGTATATTTGACAAGTTATAAAATTATACTCCTTCCGTTTAAAAATATAAAGCATTTTTAATCAAATATCCTTTCCCAATAAAATAGTTATTTACTTTCAAACTAACTATATATTTTTATATTTACCCCTATTAAACACCCTACAATAAATATAAAGTCATTATCAATGAGGGTACTCTTGAAAAAAAAGTCAATGATTACACTTTAAAAAATTAAAAATGCCTTGCATTTTTAAACATCTAACTCCTCAAAAAATGCCTTATATTTTTTAATTGAGGGAATAATTGTAATATTATTAATTTACAGTGATGTTATGTCATTTTATTAACATATATAGATTATTTTCTTGTATTTATTTTATACATACATTTAATATTATTTTTATTTAATTATCATATCACCGATTCGATCATTGGTCCAACTTAATTGGACCATGTGAATAGTGAACCGTTGGTTTTTTCAATTTAATATTCAGTTCGATTTTGAAAATATTGTTCAACCCCATTTATGTGGGAATACTAAAACCTTATACAATGGTCATATATTAAGCATAATTTTAAAACTTATTTTTATTTCCATTTTTAATCCCTATCATATTTCCAATTCCTTAAAACTTAGTACTTCGTATCAAACATGGCTTAGTACTTATGGTTCTGGGCATGTTTATAAATTCTTTGTTTTATGAATTCTAACTATAAGTGTCTGGATAATATTAACATTTTATTTGCTCTATGTTTCAGGCGTATGTATACACAAACTCACACACACAAACATATAATTTAGACATCTATTCTTTTCTCTTTGTTTTTTTTTTTCAAATCTTCAATATATAATAGCAAAAAGTGAAAAATATATTAAAAATACAAATGGTTTATATTCTTTATTATTTGTTTTATTAACATTATAATATCAAATATATGATTTTACTTTGCATATTTAAACAAATGAAATACATATATCATTATACATAATTTATTACATATTATTTTAAAATTGTAAGAATATTTCAACAACCAGGAAAAAAAAAAACGCAATATGATAGATACTCCATCTGACCCTATTTTTAAGGCATTAGATTTGATTATTTGTTGTACTAGTTTCTAGTCCTGTACGATGCATGAGGATGGAGCGATCAGAAAAGTAATTGAAGTTAGAACCTAGGTATGAAATGCGAAAAAAAGTAAGAGATTTGGGGGATGAAGGATTAAAGTATAATTTTATCTCTAAACTATTTTTAAAAAAGTAATGTTGTCACTAAACTATTTATTGTAGCAATTTTGTCTCAAAGCTAATTAAATCGGAGCAATGTTGCCCCAATCATTTAAACATCCATTAACTATACTTAGTAGAGCCTACTTTTCATGAGTTAAAATATAATTTTACCCTTACATTATTCTCAAATGAGCAATGTCACCCCTAAGCTAATTAAATCCTAGCAATGTTGCCTCCTACCATTTAAAAATCATAAACATCTAAGAGAGATAATAAAAAGTACTTTTTGTATTAGTGCCATTTTATTCACATTCTTTCTAACATCCAATATTCATGTGAAAGCATTTATCTGTGTGATAATATTTTCCACCAATATTCCAATGAATCATAAACTATATATTGAGAAGAAGCTCAATTTTCATACTAATTTTCTTCAATGACAAATATGAAAATAGTTAAAGTATAAAATCACACTGACAACATTACATGAAGAGCTCTTGATCCAATAAAAGGCATGTAAATAACATTTTTGAGGTAAAAAGGTTACTTCTTATCATTTTGAGTGGATCAGTCTATAAAATTGGCTATCATAAATAAATATACTCTCTCATATGCATTATAAACAAAAAAGCCTATACATAGACCATCATTAAGTGATTACCCCAAAAACCAATTCAGCAACTGGAATGCCACAGTTTATTTAAAATATTGACCTAAGTTAATGTTAACTAGAGAGATGACAAAAAGTGGGTCTCGCTAGCTGTAGTTAACAGATGTTTATGATTTTTAAATGGCAAAGGCAACATTGTGTTGAATAAGCTAGCACCCAAGAGGGAGGTAAATTAGGTGACACTAAATTTTTTGGTAAACTTAAAAAAGAGGAAGATAAATGCAAGGAGTAAGCAAATATGACACAAGAGATTAATCCTAGTTCAGCACAACTCTTGGCCTATGTCCAGTCTTGAAGATCACACTTAAGATTTTCAATTAAACTCATAAGCTTCAATGGGTGCTTTCAACCACAATACAACTCATAAGACTTGACTAGTCTTGATTCAACAACAAAGCCTGCTACAACCAGCAAGTTGCTACAATTCACTTGAAAAATTCCTTTTTAAGATTTTAGCTTGTTTTACAAAACAAAGAACTTTTAAAGATGAACTCTCTTAAAAGAATAGAACAAATGTAGTTGAAAGCCTAAAAACTTATGAGAGCTTCTTCATAAGATTTATCGAAAATGATAAATATATGAATGCAATACTATAATTCACAATTAAAAGCTTTTTAGAATGCTCAAAGGATAAATAGTTCACTCAAAAATCAAAATTCTTGTTTTAGACTTGAATTGTATCACATATATAATCTTGGCAGTTAACAAATTGTTGGAACTGGTTTGTAGTCATTGGTGACATTCATTGCGTGTGACACCAGGGTGACTCACGTATGTTTTGAAGGATAAGAATATACAAACCATTTTGTGTGACAAAACAAGTGTGCGACCCTCAAGTTCTCACGCATAAATTGACTAGCAGAATGCCATAGCCAATTCTGTGTGAAGAATCACACGTGGGACTAACGCACTATCACGCATCAAATGGCTAGTTACAAACTCAATCTATCCAAGAAAACAAATTAACCGTGGAGCTCTCTATCACACATGCATGAAATGGCTAGTTACAAAACTAAGCCATTCTCTGAAACATATCACACGTGGTACTCATGTGCATTCAAGAGTGGATTGCATGATTGAAAAGTCTTAAAAAAAATAAGTGAAAAATCACACAAGTGTACACACGAAACAAGCTTGAAATGGCTTAAGACTAACTTAGGCTAAATGTGTTTAAAAGACTAAGTGATAAAACAAGCATGAATACCATCCCATTCAAGCGTGAATGAAACTTCACAATATGTAAAGGCTTGAAATGGCTTAAGACTAACTTAGGTTAAATGTGTTCAAAAGACTAAGTGACAAAACAAGTATGAATACCATCCCATTCGGGCATGAAATGAAACTTCACAATATGTAAAGGAACACAAGGTGAAAATTCAAACATGAGTACACAAGGGTACTGTGCATGAATTAGAGTACAGAAGCTTCATCAAAGCATCACAAAAATACAGGTAACAAATCACACGTGGATCACTACTGATGTAGGTGTGAAGCATCAATCAGTGTGCCTAGAGTGACAAATCATACATGGGACCGTATTGAATCACGCGTAAATCATCAAACAGAGAAAAGCTCAACTTTTATGATCCAATTTAAGCTAGAATTAATTGAGGTAAGTCCCAATATGTACAAGTAAAACTTATGAGCCTAAGATAATGCATTCATTCTAAGATTAATAGCATGTGATTAAGCTCTCAAAATTTTCACATTGAATTTAAGAGAAATAAATAAGTTATTCTATAAATCTTCTTCTTCTCCTCTTAATTCTTTATGTTCTTAAGATTTTATCTGTATCCATGAATCTTTATGTATCTACACATATAACACACACCTTTTCTCTTAGTTTTATAATCATCAAAACATATGATTCAACACATTGCTCCTTTGAGATTAGTTTAGGAGCAAAATTACACCTTAACTCATGAAAAGTAGTCCCACTAGCTACGGTAATGGTCGTTTAAATGATGGGGGTAACATTGCTCCAATTTAATTAATTTAGAGGCAACATTACTATGATGAGTAGTTTAGGGGTAACATTTCTCCTCAAAAAATAATTTAAGAGCAAAATTGAATCTTAACCCAAAAATAAAAGGTAAAAAAAGAGGTCAACATTTTTTAAGCTGAAATAATGAATTTAATTGTTGATTATTTAAAATGTTATTATTGATGTTCATTCTTGAATCCCCAAAGATATAAAATCTAGTTAATATTTTAAAAATGCTTGGAATTTTTTTCATCTATCAAAAGAAAAGGAGTTAAGGTCAAATTTTGTCCCTATACTTTTTTTTAGGAATATTGGGCACTCTATATTCTTTAATAGGGCAATGTTACCTCTGAACTATTTTTCAAGAAGCAAAAAACTCCTTCCATTAATGAACCATTAATTTTTCCATTTGTTGTTAACGTAAAATGTGCGTGAGGCCTATGTACAGTG